TCTCATCTTGTTTTCCTAGAAGAAAGTCCTTGATTACTAACAAACCTCAAAATTACCCCTAGTGTGAGGGGTGATCCTAGTCTAGGTAATTATCGAAGGAAATCATTTAGGCTCAAAGTTGGACAACAAGGGATAAGTTTTTTTTTTATGGAAGAGCATACCAAAAAATGGCCTTTCTTCATCTCAAATATGATCTTGTTCACGTCAATAAGCTTTAGCTTCGTTTGACACTTATGAGTGACTTATAGAGAAGAAGTGATGGATAAGGTGAGATCAAGACTCGCATGCGTACCACTCGCCATCATTTAAGACATCGAATCACTTTTTGGTTTTTTTTGTCATTATTTTTTTTGGTTTTTTTGGCATTGATGGATCATCTTAGGCAAGACTGTCTTGGAAGGATTTTGGTTTCAAAAAGAGAGGGGGATTACCCCTTAGCAATTGCGGGACATATTTTGGAAGTTGATTAGTGTTGAAAGATTTTGAATGAGTTTGCCATTTTATTTACTTTGATTTGGATGACATAAAATGATAATGATACTTTCAAATAAACATCTCTTGATTTCAAATCGGTAATAAGATCATGCCAAGATGTTAGGAATTTCTTTTTCAAAAAAATGACCCAATCCATGAAAATTACAATACTTTTGCAAATAAAATTCAAAAATTTGAAATAAGGTAATATGTCATTGATAAAATCAAGACACATTCATGCTTATCCGACGAGCTTCGGGTATTCTCCTCATATTCGTTATCATGCATATTATAATCGAGTTATGATGGCCATTTTTCTTTTTTCTTTTTTTTTCACAACCGATTGGTGTTTTTTTATTTTTGAGATATGATCATACTAAATGTCCCAAAGTTAGGGTGAAAATCAAGACAAAACACAATAGAAGAAAGAAAGAAAATGTGGTAGTTTGAGAAGAAAATTTAGATCTTGCAAATTGACATCATATAAAAGAATGATAGATAAATATGATAAAGAAATTACTTAGCCTTGAAAACAAAAGGCACTTCTTCATTTGACCATTCATTCAATCATTTTCCTCAAGTGGTCCGATAGACAAGTTGATCGACATAAAAACACCCTTAAGTATATAGGCGGAAGGCACCATTATTTCTGAATTATTAGGCACTAACCTAGACTCGTGTGACTTCATTTTTAGCATCGGCTTTCTTTATCCCTCAAAATGTTCACTACCATAGCACGAGATGGTGAGTTCAAACTCGGTTCTTTTGCGTAAATCGGCGAGATATAAAGACTTCTCCGATATCTTTACCTCTCTTTCTACTTTCAAGGTGTCTAGAACTAGTATCGCTTGCACCTCTTAATAAATTCATGGTAATTATCAATGTCATGTCCATTTTTATGAAACTTGTAGAAGGATTTGAAATTAATAAGAGCTGGAGACTTGGATGGTTTTTTGTTAATGTCGACGAGTAAATAACAAGTAAAACAAATAGGACATGTAAATTTTAAAGCTGTCTTTTAGTTGTCACACCCATCGATCGTTTGGATTGAAAGTTGATTCCCCAACCTAATGGATGTTGATGTCATTTTCTTTTACCAAAGTTGTTTTTTTTTACCAAGCTTTAAAAGGATCGGTTATGCACGATGTAATGAAGAGTTTTGGCACTTTGAATTTCTTAGGAATCATGATATTCATAATCAAGTATTTGTATACTATCAAAAGACAATTGTACATGTCCACGCACTCAACAATTATGAGATATTCCTCGATGGCACTAAACTTCTCGACTTCGATCCCTAAGCTTAATTTTCCTTTCATTTTTTCATTAACATCCAAATCAACCATAGGAGTTGCCTAAGTTTGTTAAGTATGTGGCTACCATGGAATTGAACAAGAGACTTTAGGGTGGGCTAGCTCATACATGCCCCTAAGTGTAGTGTGACTAGTTAGATTCAAGATGTTGACGACCTTTTGGTGGGAAGCAAAGAAGGTTGGAACATAAATTGCCACTCGAGTAGTGGATACCGGTATGGCATTAAAGACCTTGGAGATAGCAAATGGCTGATCCATTTCTTGACTAGGATGCACTTCGGTAGATGCATGAGTTTATAGTCTTTGCCTAAGTGAAGCGAGTTAGCCTAGACACTTTTGCGTTTAAAGCACTTAACTTCGTCCGATGGCTTTGTTCAAGTTCAACCCTTTCTTCATCGTCTATTCTTGCACCGACTTGAGTTGTCAACTCTTAGGGGAGGAAACACAATTTTGACATAATGACTTATGCTTCTTCGAGTGAATAGAAAAATACAACCACATAAATAATATTGACATAAAATAAAGATGCTCGACTTGGATATGGAGTAGTCATCCGTGGAGGGTGACAAAAGAGTTTCTTCTTTTTGTTTTTTCACCAACGAGATTGCTTATAATAGGTTTAATGATATGATTATTCACATCGGTAACCTTTTAACACTCGATCGATGCTTGCTTGAACACTTTTGTCATCTATCTTGAAACATCGTGATCGAATCATTTTAATCAAGGTTTCAAACAAGTCCGACTTGTCTAATGTGTTTAAACAAGGAGAGATGGCCCTAAGGTTCGGTTCTAGTCATTACATGAGGGGGGTAGGCTCTATCTAAGTCTCAAAAGGATACCTTCCAGCCTAGTGAGTCTTTAGTAGAGTCACTATGACTGTCTATGGTGACATTAGCAATAGTAAAAAATTATCGATTATCCATCACCAATGGTAGCTAGCAAGAAGGATTGAGGTTTCATAAGTGTTTACTTAAGGTGAAACGTATTGGGTCACCACTACTAACTCCTCGGATCCTAAGGAAAATGCAAATGACAATTATAATTATGCGGTGTAGTGTGTAGGGCACAACTCCATATCTAGTCTCGAAGTATGAAATAAAATGTTAAAAGTTAAACAACAAAGCTGCAGAAGCACAACACGAACAACACATACATATACAAACATATTCCCATAACATAAAAATAAATAAACAATTAAATAACAATCTTTCAATAAAAGAAAATAGGCATAGAGGCATAACAAAACAATAGATTTATAAACACCGACATTCAAAGCTAAATGGAGGGGCCGAAACAAGGAGTCACCACCTAGCTAATCGGGTAGAACTAGGAAACCCTAAACATGCCGGTCTACATGAATATCCGGGTAAGGTTGGTTACGTATGAGGAAGACATGACATCACCACCATCTCGTCCTATCTAAGATAGGCTGCATTATTTGTCTATGAATATAAAAATCTTGGTTTTTTATTTTGTTATACTTTTATACCTATTCACATGAATTTATTTGGTAAAAATATGAGACGAGATGATTCGGATGTAAAACAAGGTAGTTTGGGCATTCGGACCGGTCCAAGGTCAATATGCCCTACCCAAATGGGAGAAAAATAAATAAAAAAAGATGGAATTCGACTAATCATTAGCGAACATGACCTCTTATCAATGAATATGTGAGTTTCTAAAGATAAATTTATTGGCATAAGCTGCAAGTCATCGACAACATCGCTCACATTAGTGGAAAGCCATCGATGACTTCGAGTCATGCATTTAAAAAGTTATTGATAACTTCATCACGAAGTGGCAAGTCCTTGACAACTTCATGTTACTCTAGTGAGGACTAGATAACTATTTAAAAGTCACCGGCAACTTTGTCATATAAATGAAAAACCAACATTAACTTTGTTTCAAATAAACTAGACATTAAATAAAAAGTTATTTTTGAAGCCACAAGCGGATTCGTCACATGAGTGGGAAGCCATCGACGGTTTGTTTTTTATGAAATAAGCAATAAAACATAAAAAACAAGAAGCACGGAATAGTAAACAAAAATCAAGAAAAACGAGGATTAATCATCATACAAATGCTTTTGAAACCACCGATGACTTCATCACATAAGTGAGAAGCCACCAGCAGATTCATTATGTCATGAAAATCAATCATGGATAGTCAATTATCACAAAAATAGCATAATTGTTGCATTTAAATAGGTAGGCATGATAACAAACAAATAGGACATTTTATAAATCATTGCAACACTATTTCATTTTAATCGTATTTAATCCATAAAAGTGGAGCCGAATAACATAATTTCGGACACATTCTAATGCACCAGTTATTTTTAACCTTTTCTCATGTTTTTTAAAATGTCATGGTTTTAGGATTTTTACCCAAAGGTCCCGAAACATCAATATCTAATCGGGAGTTGATCCTACCCTCTTCATTATCGATGATAATTGAATATTCGATTAGCCGAGAAAAAGGATAATTTTTGATTGGTAATAGTAGGGTGAGTACCAATAGGGTGGTCGAAAAAAATTCTCCTTTTCTTAAAGGTGCTACAAAATTTATAAAGTTGCTTGAAGACTCCAAGGGAGTTCCGTAACCTATTTTCTTATAAAACAATTGAGCAAATGCATTCTACAATATTTTGTTATTCCTGCCAACACAATCAAATGCAAAAAAAAAAAAAAAAAAAATAACTCTCTAATTTTTTTTCCCTCTTATTTCCTCTTTTTCAATAACTTAAAAAAAGTGTTCGGGGGCTATTTTGAGGGAGGTTTTGTGTCTGTTTTGGTGGGTTTTTTAGGGTTTTTTTTAGATGGTTTATAAGATGCTTTGGAGGTTTTTTTGGAGATGATTTGGTGGTTCAAATGAGCTATCTAAAGGGGCTTTTTTGTAAGGGTTTTTGGAGGGTCGTTGGTCGCTATTTCGGGGTTGTAAGGGCTGTTATTGGTGGCTATTTTGCATCTAATGTTTGGGCTGTTTTGGGATATATTTTTGGTATTTTTTAGGGCCATATTAAAGCTAGCTCATGGGTGTTTTACTGGTTGTTTTGGTGGTTTAAGGGGCACTGTTCGAAGGGGTTTTCTGTAAGGGTTTTTATAGGGGCTATTGATAATGGTTGCAAGGTTAATTTTGAAGGGTTTTTCAAGTCTGTTTTAGGGCTAGTTTTAGGGCTAATTTTGGGAGGTTTTTATGTCAGGTTTTTAGCTGCTTTAAGGGTTGGTTTTGGGGCTTTGAATGAGGCTGGAGGGAGGGTTTTTAGAGGTGTTCTTGGGGGCTGTCTGGAATTTTCATCCTCTATCGGAGATTTCTTCCAGCCTATTCAATCGCACTTTTGACCATTAAAAAGACCTAATATTGAACTGGTGTCTTCATAATAATTATAGGTCCAGATTTCATCTTTCCAACACAACTAGCCTTTCATCAATTAGACTTCTATAACCCAAGATATGAACTCTGAACCGAACAGGCCCTGCTACTAAAAAAACTTGCTAGACAGATTCTGACTTCTGACTTGTAGCCCCATTTTGGCTTTCAAATCTTCCAAATTGGGCTTTTGACTCTTCACAATAGTTTTAGCTCAGTCTACTAAGCTTCTAAAGAGCCAAAGATCACCTAATTTGGATGCCTGTAGCCCAAGTTATAGTCAAAATACGAAACGGGTGTGAAGTATGAAGGCTTAGATGGCAGCTTGTGTGGGTGGCTATGGAAGTCGGTTAGTATGGGTTTATGAGGTGCAAAAAGAGGTGACTGGTGTTAAGGGCTATTATGGAGGTTATGGGGGAGTGAGAAGAGTTAAATGGAGCTTGGGAGGAGGAGATGGTGGGGCTATAACGCAAGGAATTCGGTGATAGGGGTTATTGATGTTTGGGCGAGAGAGAGGGAGAAAGAGCGAGGCATGCTACAGAGGCTAAAAGGTGAGAGTGGAGACAATAGGCATGGAAGAGCGAGAGAGGGAGATCTTTGTGCCATCTCTATTTCATGTGGGAGAAAGCCCTCTCTTTGGTGTATGCCGGATGGGTTCTTTTGTTGTGATGAATGAATAGTAGAATATACCAAAAATTGCGTGGGAGACGTATGGTTTTCTAGGAAAAAATCCACTTTGGTCCTTCATTTTCTTCCATGCATTTATTTGTATTCAATTCATTTTTTTGTGTTTCAATTTAAGCTTCCCATTGTCAATAATTGGGACTTTTTATTTTAATTGGTTCCAATTGTACCCCTCCTTATTTTATTTAAAGGATTTGAAGCTTTGATTTTTTTAATTATGCCCTCAATTTTCTTTTTAATTATTTCCCACTCTATATTTTTTTCAACTAACCCACTCCTTAGAATTAATCTAAACTAGATTATTCTAATTATTTTTTTCTTTTCTTTTTTTTTCTTTTTTTGTATTTTGCATTTTTCTTTTGTTTTTTCTTTTTCTTTGTTTTTTTTAAATAATAAATAAAAGAGGAGCAAAAATTGGGTGTTAACAACCTTCATAAATGAAAACACCTTCATAAATGAAAATACTTTCATTAGAACATCTCTATATTTCTTTTAAATAATCTAAATTGTTTTAAAAGAGTCATTCAAGTGTATGAATTTAGCCATGATAACTAGATATCTATTCAATGATTTTTTTTAAAAGATGATAAAATTTCATGATCAATTTGTGAATTGTGATGCTAACATCAAAATATAAGCATTTAAACACCAATAATGTTCGTGCCAAAAGAACTATAAATGTATGATCTCAATCGGTACTTAGAGGTATCCCATGACTCGATCTAAATGGTAATCTAAAAAAATAAGGTCAAGGATTTAAGTACTCAAATAATGAAATCATAAAATCACTCATGCAATAAGGGTACGAGTAACAAACACTAGGGGTATTAATCAAAACATCCGAAGTAGTCAAATCGAGGGGTAGAAGGGTTTTCTTAAGCAAACCAATGGCTAGCAAACTCGTATAATTTAGATTACATAATCCGATAAAAGAAGAGTTGAACTCCTGGTATAATTTAGTTTGAAGTAATTTGACAAAATAAGAGTTAAGCTTTCAAAGTGCAACCTATGTTTCTCATAGGTAATCAAGCTGATCCTTATGGCAAGTTTTGTTTTAAGTACATCACAATCCTAAAAAAAAAAAAAAAAGGAGGCATCCATAATAAATCTTGAATAACAAAATACCGAGGAAATAAAAAAATAATACTTCCCATAAATCCATCTTAGGTATGATCGCTTCACAATAAATCACTCCCTAAGTGCGGAACCTAAAGTCAAATGACCAATTCCCACTTTCAAGTAAGGTCGATCAATTCAACTCATCGCTTCGGGCAAGGTTGCCTAGTGATCACTTGTATATTCAATATTCAAGGTAGGCCGCTCCTAACAATAAAGCCACAAATTACACATTTAACTTTCGGGATAGATTGCCATTGATGACAAGGCCATGTATCGCATTTTTCATTTTCGAGTAGAGTCGTCTTTGACAATAAGGCCACACATTGCACTTTTAACTTTCTAGGTAAGTTATCCTTGACAAAAAGGTCATGTACTACATCTTTCATTTTCTAGGTATGTTTCCCTTGAGAACAAGACCATGCATCGCATATTTAATTTTCTAGGTAGGTCGTCCTTGACAAAAAGATCATGTATTACATATTTAATTTTTTAGCTAGGTTATCCTTGACAACGAGGCCATGTATTGCATGTTTAGTTTTTTAGGTAGAATGCCCTTGACAATAAGACCATGCATTGTACGTTTAATTCGGCGTGTGCTTGCCCTTGATAATAAGGTCATGTATTGCATATTTAACTTTTAGGTTAGGCTATCCTTGATAACTAGGCCATAAATTGCATCTTTTATTTTCAAGATAGGTTGTCCTTGATAACAAGGTTGCATACTTGTAAGTTTAATTTTTTGAATAGGTTGTTTAACAACAAGACCATGTATTGCATATTTAAATTTTAGGATAGGTCTGCCCTTGACAACAAGGTCATATATTGCATATTTAATTTTTTAGGTAGTTTGTCCTTAACAATAAGGCTATGTATTGCATATTTAATTTTCATATTAGGCCGTCCTTTACTTTAGCCATGCACTAAATATTTAATTTTTAGGACAGAGCCATTCTCAAATTTGACCTTGCATTGCATATTTAATTTTCAAGACAAGTCACCCTCCAATTTGATAATACACTTGCATATTTGATTTCCTAAGGCGAGTCGCCTTAATCAACATGTCCATATATCATATATTTAATTTTTAGGACATACCATCCTTCATAATAAGGTCATCCATCATAATTTTACTTTCAAGTGTAATTAACCAACCTCTAAAAAAAATTTTTTACAAACTTATTAAGCAAAGTCATTAAAAAATATTTTTTCATTTGACTTTACACCATAAGCATTGTAAAGAGGAGGCAATTGTCATAACCCTAAATTTTTTATTTATTTATTTCTTATTTTATTTTGTTTTGTTTTATTATTATTATTATTATTATTATTATTATTTGAGTTTACTACAAAAAAAATGAAAAAAGGATTAAAAAAAAGAAAGAAAGAAAGAAAAAAGAGAATATATAGAAAATACAAAAAAAATTCATCCAATGACACAATCGCATTAAAAAGAAGTGTAATTAAGATAATTAAGGGTACAATTGAATCAATTGAGAAATTTAGAACCTAAATTACATTCGATAGGGATCTAATTGATAATATTGCACTTTTTAAGGATTGAAATTGCATAGAAAAAGGACACGATTGTAAATAATTAAAATTTATAGGGACTAAATTGAAATGATGGAGCGAACGACAAGACTAGAGTCTAGTGGACAACATGTCATTCACTCCAATCCAAAAATCTCTCTTAGGATTGTTCCTCGATCCTTTCCAAGAGAGAAATCTTCCCTATATTAAGTTCTAGGTTGATTTGCGTATGTTATAATCCTTAACTAGATTTGATACTAGCGAAGGATCATACCCCAATGCAATCAATGCCTCAATTTTATCTAATCAAAGGTAAATATTTTGCCATAATAGTTGGATGTAGTGTGAATGGGTTGATTTTAGAGAAAGATTCGAGCCAATTTGTGCCTATAAAAGGTTTGCATTGACTCGGAAGAATGGGGGAGGAAAAAGGGAAAAAAATCTAGGTTGAGAGAGAGTGAAAAGAAAAGAAAAAAGGGGTTGAAATTCAAAAGGCTTGGATTTATTAGTTCTACATTTTATGGGTTTTGGGTTGGCGTTCTTCTTTTCTCTAAACAACTTTTCTTCAGACTTCTTATTTTTTAGGTTTCGAGTGCCTGGATTTAAGAGAGAATAGCGGGGTCATTGGGTTCCTTCCATTATAGGGAGTGAAAGAAAAAGAAGTGAGGACCAAATAGTGAAAATCAAGGGTTGTTTTGGCTTTCTAGTTGCTGAATTGTTGAGAAAGTTCCTAGGTGTTTTTCAATTTCTACATGAACATTTGAACTTTTTGGTTTTCGATTTAAATTTTTGGGTTTCTAAGCACCTCTTTGGTTTTCTTAACTTAAAAATATACTCTTTTTGTGCTAATTACAAGGTTTTCCATTCAAATTAATTGGGAATTTTGAATTTCTAGACTCTTCGTTTGAAATTTTGGGTTTGGTTGGGTTTTTGTTCTTGGTATTTCCCAATCAATTTTTCATGTTAATCTCATTATTTCCATTCATTTAATTAGTTGTGTTGTTTCGGTTAAATGTTAGATTGTATTTGATTGAGTAAAGAAACTTAATTAATCAATCTGTGGTTTTTGGGCTAATTACAAAGTCTTGATTTGAAAAAAGAAGAAGAAGCGGACGACAAACTAAAGAGAGTGCAAAGAACAACAAGAACATGAGAGAGAGAGAGAGAGTCAAAATTAGATAAAAGAGCTTTTGATTAAAAAAAAAAACAAAACAAAAGAAAGGGGCTTGTTTTTGGGCTTGGGGCCTAGTCTAGGAGTTCCTCTAAAGGAAGATAGCGGGGCGTGGGTTGGGCTTAGCCCAACCCATTTGGAGCTTAAGGTCGGGCTAACCTTAGCTTAGTTTTTTTAAAAAAAAAAAATGAAAGAAGCTATGCAAAAACTAGTTTCAATTTAGCTTTTGATGCTCCGAAGGAAACATAAAAATAAAAAATAAAAAATAAAAGAAAAAGTAAAAATCAAAAGTGATAGAAATGGGAATTAGTTCGGTTAGAAAAGGGAAAAAAAACATGTAGGGCATGAGCCAATGGGCTTAGGGCCCAAAAAGATTTCTTTTAATATTTTGATTTTATTTTGCTATAGCATGAGTTTTTCTATTTCTCATTATATTTTTATTTTTTGCATTAATTTAGATTCAATATTTTAAAAATTTGTTGGAAGTTATTTGATTAACCTTAAGTGTTAGAATTTAAGTTAGTTATAAGGTAGATAATTATTTGATAAAAGAATTATCGAGTCTCCTAATTTTTTAGGGACCGATGATAATTTTTTTATCAACAATCGATAAAACAAAATAATAAATAAGAAACAAAGTGTCATATCCGATAGTTATTGTTGTTTGACCAAAAAAATAATAAAAATTCTCAATGAAGTCTCTTACTCGATAAGGACTATCGTTTGATTAGAATAATAATAATAATAATAATAATAATTCTCTATGAAGTCTCCTATCTTATAGAGACTGTCGTTTGACCAAAAATAATAAAAATTCTCAACAAAGTCTCTTATCCGATAGAGACTATTATTTGACAAAAAAATAAAAATAATAAAAATTCTCAAAAAAGTCTCCTATCTAATAGGGACTCGTCATTTCATAAAAAACATAAAAATAAAAATAAAAATTCTTAGCATAGTCTTCTATCCGATGGAGATTGT